CCCGCCGCACCACGGGACGAGGGATCTTTTGGTGGGGGATCCCTCGTGTCCTTTTCTGTCGCGGGAGCACGACCTGTTGGGTGCGATCGGCTGTGGTTGGAGGTCTGCACGATCTTTTGAACCTCTGGCGCGTCAGACTCCGAGCTAGAAGAGTTCGAGCTTGACCTGGAGCTGGAGCTGGAGCTGGAGCTGGAGCTGGAGCTGCTGGAGTTAGAGCTGGAGCTAGAGCTAGAAGAGCTGGAAGAGCTAGAGCTTATCGCCGAGCGCGCCATGACATCCGCAGGGGAAGCCCGTGTGTGTGCGTGCATGTGCGCGCACGTTGCTGGCTGCTTAAAAACACTTGTCCATTATTATCTCATCGTTTGTCTCTGTTTATGTCGAAGTACCCGAATAATCGAACGATCGAACACCAGGCGCCCTCAGGCCATGTGTCAAGCACCGAAATGCCCTTATCTATGAGCGTTATGCTCATTATGCAGCAGTGTATGCTCGTCGCGCGTGCATATATGCTCCTTCGGGGCTGAAATATGCTCGAGCATTGCTCCTTTTTAGTTATGCTTTTTCTTATGCTCAAAAGGGCCATTTTTGCTAAAAGCTATGCCCGCAGAATGGGCCTAAGCCTTGCTGGGGCAGCAAATCTGTAAGGCATTGTAACATCGACAGCGGTCTGCTGCAGCCCGCACTACTGCGTGTGGGTATGGAGAGATTCCTCCCATCTGCTGGCGGGTCGTCAGCTGCCGGCTTGAGGCCATGTGGCGAACCCACGTGCCAGCAAAAGTCTCAACTCGTGTCANCAGCAGTAGTGTTGCGGCCTTCAATTGACGTGTTGTCGCAGTTTTTAAGCAGCACAATTTCGTGGTCGCATTCCTGCTTCAAGTGCGCGTATGTTGACACATGTTACACCTCCATTGACCCCGGGGACGGTGAGTTAGTGGCCCCCGAATCCTAAAGACACTTCCCCGCGTTAAAGACACTCAAAAAAAAAACGCGGTGTGTCTTTAAAGCGNGCTTGACAATAAGAAAAGCCTACAACATCACCAGCGCACACTGCCGTACACATTACAATAGGTCGTGCTGTACTCCTTCCCGCGTTTCGGTGGTGGAGGAAAATTCAAAAATGTGTACAGTATTGGAGTACAGCAGCAGTAGTGTTGCGGCCTTCAATTGACGTGTTGTCGCAGTTTTTAAGCAGCACAATTTCGTGGTCGCATTCCTGCTTCAAATGCGCGTATTTTGACACATGTTACACCTCCATTGACCCCGGGGACGGTGAGTTAGTGGCCCCGGAATCCTAAAGACACTTCCCCGCGTTAAAGACACTCCAAAAAAAAAACGCGGTGTGTCTTTAAAGCGGGGTCGACTGCTGTGCTGCTGTACAATAGTAATCTATGACAAACACCGGGTGTTCATCACAGACACGAGGGATCGGCTTACACCGCGCGCAGACCAGGTATGCTCGTGCACAAACCGATATAACAATAACACGAAGAGCCACATCACCCAGAGTGGTATCCATGGGGGATGGCCCCAGTGCCTCCCGCAGACACAGAGCCCAGGGGTCACTCACAGCAGCCAAACCCGGAGCGGGCCGACTCACATGAGCGGCGATCTGGTATCCGATACACAAAAAAACTGGGTACTATTACTCACCGGTGAAGCCGATGCAAGAGTGTAGCCTTAGCTCTGTTGCATCACTCCCAACGCCCGCCATAGCTGCTGTCTGAGTTCGGTGAAGAGAGATGTGGTGGTGCGGGAGGAAGACAGGGCAACGCGGCCGGAGGTGATGTAACCGTTTTCCATATATCGGGTAAACTCGCCGCATGGCCGCATGACTCACGGAACGCCCTTTTGAACTGCTAATCTGCTCTGGTGGTTGAATGAAACCCTAGACCACCCGCTTCCCGCAGCCACCGCGGCGATGGCTTACCTGTTGAGCTCTGCATCTTTCCTGGCCTCGGCCTTCGTGTCTAATGCCCTGCATTTATTTTCCCGGTCCATCCGCGCCAGCCCTTTACTCCATCGGGCGGTTAAGGTATTGGACCGGGGCAAGCCGAAGGTGCGTCTGTTGTACAGCAGTAGAGCTGGATGTTGTACATAGCAGCGACGACGTTCATCATGCGTGCCCTCTAAACGGGTTCTATCACCAAGTTGCGTGTTTCATTTCATCTGTTATGTGGGCGGTTCTGCCTCTCCCTGTTGCTGTAAGACGTGAAGTATAGCAGAAAGCCAGCGCCGTGCACCCTTCCTTACAATTATTTCGTGCTATTTACCTCAGCAATCTGTGCAAGAAACTCGTTGAATTTTTTACCACCCCCGGTGCCAACTCTCAGATCCGCCGATGCTCCGACGCTGAATAAATGATGTGGAGGCCATAGTGCTGCACCCAGACTCTATGTGCATTTCGTACAACCGGTGCAATGAAGTATTGTGTCTATCCAACGGCGCGGTAGAACAGCAGCGGCGGCAGATCGGTGAACTCCCGTGTTTCCCACTGGCCGCGCTTGGAGCTACAGCAGTGGGCACCCAAAGAGTATACTAAAATATACTAGTATGTAGACTGCGGTAGGGTCCAGAGGTTTTGACCGGCTCTACACCGGACACAGCCACAAACAATGCAAAATCGATTTATTTTAGTACAGGAGTGGACACTCGTGCCCACAGATTTCGCTGCCGGCGCTATTCCGTGCACCAGTACTATTCAACCGGGGACTAATGATGTGTCAGGTTCGGCAAAACACCAAAATGTTCATGAGGACACTAGTCCCTGTCAGAGACAGAGGCCGGTGCTCTTGCAGTATCTCCCACTGCCAAGGGTGGCTATTTCCTTTCGTGACATGTAACGAGGACAGATGTAGAAAAAGAGTAACCAGAGGGTCGAGAGAGGCGAGCCGGAGGCTCCCCCATCTCTTCCCTCGGCAAGCGGCCATGGACTTGGGAAGAGACAAATCTCCTCGGTGCTTTACTCGCCACTTCTCCCGATGGCAAGATACCCCGAGGAATCATATCTTCCTATACTTCGTATGTGCACAAATGGTTGGTTATATATTCCGACAGGTATGAGACTGTTGTCTCCAGGTTCGCGTGTGAGCAAGTTCCCTTAGGGATGGGCGGTGTGGATACACACCGGATCAACCTCTGGTGGAGAGGCTGATGTACGGAACGTTGAGTCGAGTCTGTGTGAGTGAGGCAGGTGGGGATCAACCTTGTGTTGAAGCAAGGTTCAGCATCCAACCTGCACTGACTCTATCTGTGGTAACACCCCGAAGGTAGATCTCCGACAGGTCATCTGACGTCACAATCTACGAC